AAAAGATATAAAATATGTCAATCATACCTTAAAAATTATATAAGACACAATTTTTTATTTGAATTTGCTATAGTTTAAAACGATTTGTGTCTTGGTAGATTATTTTTATTTTAAGCAATAAAAAAAAAAAAGAAATTGTAGTTCTCTGCCCTGAAAATATAGGCATTATTCTCAATTGCAAAAAACAACAAATTTCTTTTTGCTCAACATTACATACTTGAGATTTTGTACAACATTAAACTTGACTCAAAAAATGATTGGATTTCATCATCCGTAGACTCAAATTTCTAATTACGCCTATGTAATTTAGGTTCCGTTTTTATTAAGAAAAGTCAAAATTTTTAATTTTGCAGTATACTAATAAAGATAACTAAATTCTATAATTTAGTTTTTATCAATTAATAAAAGTTTAAAAAATTATTTAAAAATTATCCATTCTGTTTATATTTTTTATTATCTAAAAAAAATATTAACTTTTTAAATTGAAATTAAATAAATAATTTTGAAAAATACGTACATCTATTGTTAACAATTTAAGTGTATATGTTATAGTAGATTAAAGCAGGGAGTAAATATTACTTGCAATTTTTAATTGTGTGAAGAAGGATTTTCAGCAATTTGTAAAAGCAGCTGTATTGAAATTTAAGTATTGGTCTAAAAAAGAAAAATAAGTACGGTTATCAATTGTTTTCAAGTTTCGAAGTAATAATGAAATGCTGACAAACACATTGTTAGCATTAAGATTAATTGTAGAATTTAATTTAAATTGTAATAAAATTTTTTTTAATGCTCAATTAATAAATTATTAAGTACTTTTATTTTTTCGTCATAAAAATAAAATTATTCAGAAATATTTTAAAAATAATACTAAAAGTTGTTTATTATTTAAAAAAAAAATGTGTACAAATTTATATTCATAAAAGTTGGGAACCCTTTCACTTAAACGGCTGAGGGTACTTATCTATTATAACGGTCGGCAATAATTAAATGAGGAACACCAAATCCTAATATCCTAGATATTATATTTTGAAATTCACGCATGTATAACTGAATGTTCTACTATAATGTATATTTTTGCGTACTTACATAAATAATTAGATCCTATTTAAGCCCGAATTTATAATGGAGTGCATATGATTAAAACACTCAATGACAAAAATTGCTTAAATTAATTATTAGTAATATTTATTTTGTTTTATTATTTCATTTTAAAAATAATACTATAATTTGAATTTGCTCTTAATACCATTTCATTAAACTTTATACCTTAATAAAAATAGTTTATTTTATTAAATAAAAATTACACATATATATGTTAAACATTTTTGTTCTAACAAAAGCTCATGTCTATGTATTTTTATTTCCAATTTAAAAGAAGAATTCTGTCTTCTAAAAATGTCTACCAGATTAGAGCATTGCCAGTTTTTTTTTTATCTAAAATATTTATAATTAAAAATCCTAATTTTAATTTTTAGATACTTAAATACATGGCGTGTGTTATGATAAATATACATGACCCATTGAATTTAAAATTTGTTAAAAATACCACACCAGTTTTATCACCATGAAGACTATCTCAAACGAATCATCTCCAATCTTATGGTACAGCAAGCAACAGGCTTCAAAATCAAATAAAAGAATCCAGCTGTATAAAAGAAGCAGAATGGTATGAGGGTAATATTACTAGAAATTAAGTTAAAAAAAAATTATCCTTTGTTCCTAACCTATCATACAAATCGTCAAACCTCTTAAACTTCGCCTTATTGTACACATGGCTTCTTTGCACAAGCGTTTATATTTCATCCATCTACTCTGTTTTTGCTCTTCTGCCATACATTGAACTGCTTTTTCTTACTTTCTACGATAAAATAATCAATCTGTAATCTATTACTCCCACTCTTATGAGTTATATAATATTCTTTCCTTTTTCTAAAATAAGTATTAACCGCAGCAAGATTATACGATACTGCTAAATCCAGGATTAAGATAGATGTAGAATCTATCTATCATTCTATTGAAAGAATGAAGCTGTAGAAGCTTCATTCTTTCAACTAAAATCATACTCTCGATGTACTCTTTCATATCCTCACCTTTCATTACCTACATGTCCATTTATAATTCCACCTATATACCACATTCTTATTACCAGATATTTCTTGTATCATCTCATCCATCTCTCTCCATAACACTTCCTTGTCTATTTCATCACATCTTACTTTTCTTCAAACTTAATATTATCGCAGTTATTCTGTCATTTTTTCTGACTACTTTTACTACTTTACTTTACTTTTCATCTCCTCGTCCATTATTAGTCCTATACAATTTTTTATATTTGACTTACCTGAGTATACTATTTTATACCTCTCACTTATTTCTCTCGCTTTTCGCTTAGTTTCCTGCTCTCAACAAATATTAATTTTTCTCCTCTTCAATACTTTTACTAATTCTCTACTTCTACCAGTTAATGTTCCAACATTTCAAGTACCTATTCTTACTTTGTATCTATGTTTCTCCCTTATACACGAGTCCAGCCTAGAGTAGAGTGGTGATGTCCATACACCGTTGACACTACAAACGTTGGGTAGGCCTGTACACATGACCGGTGAAACAGCTACCACACATGTTACATTCAATTCTTATGTGAAATTAATGAATTCGTACAAATACATTCATTCCAAACCCTGTTGTATACTATGGTACTAACCATAATTTTATTAAAATTTTAAGATTAAAAAATTATCGTTAACACACTAAGATATATTACTTCTTATAAATTCATTTACAATCAATATTGATATTGATATTAAAATTAAAATTATATAAACTTAAATGATAGAAGCCAGACAAATGAACCTTACAATGAGCGAACCAAAAACGTAAACGTCCATACAAAATAAGAACTAAGTTTACGTCCAAATTCATAAAAAATAAACACATGAGCGCGTTCTTTCCTGTCGCTGAAGGTGAGTCATGAAAATATGATAAATCCAATAACTTATTCCAATTATTTCCTTGTTATATTTTTAAACAATATTTTCCTTTTTAAAATACGTTAAAAACATATTTTATAATTTTTCTAAAAGTAAATTTTTTTTAAAGATCGTACTTTATCTATGAGTGGTAAAATTGTATAATTTTTAACTGCCTGAAGTTAGTCTATTTAATAGTATTTAAGATTTTATAAGCAAAATACAGTAATCATCTTTAAATTGAAACTTATTGTAATAAATGACACGAGGATATTTTAAAATTATTATTTGCTGACATTTGATAAATATTAGCGATTACTATTGTTTATAAATTCTATTGCAGATTTTTTCAAAATAGTGACTAGCTAGTCATAGATAAATAATTTATCTATGACCAATTATTGGTATGTTATTCTTATGAGCAAGTTATGAATTTAAATTAATGGTAAATTTTCATTGAAACTTTTTGCTTCAGAAATTTTAATAATATGAATGTATTCATTATATTTTTGGAGAATATACCATAATTTTTTCGAATTCTCTGATTTCAGATAAAAGTAGCAGAAAGTAGTAATCACTGCAATTTTTACTGTTTTTAATCATATTAGCATTTTTATCAAACTGTGATAAAAATTGTTCATAGAATAACCATAGAGTATTGTACTATACAGAATGTTCAGCAAGTAAAGGAATATGTCAATTGTTACAAACAATGAGAACATTAGAAAACGTTTACTTACTTATTGAACACTTTATATTTATATTGTATATTTATAATACAATACTACTCTATGAGGATAACTTTACTTCAAAGTGCAAGTTATAATCGGTAGATAGCGTAATAAGATACTGTAAAAATATCTATTGCATGTTTGATCCACAACCTGATATTTATTATTATCAATTAAAGTTTGATAATAAGTCTCACGTGTATTATGCCCGGGTACATGTTGAAGGTTTGAAGGATTTTATGTACAATTTTTTTTTATATTTGGATTGTTAAAAATATAGAAATATCTTAATATTAAAAAGTGATCATGGTAGAACTTACTACAGATATTGAAGTGAAAAAAGTTGAGGGTGGAAGTATTTTGAATCATCCTCCATTATTTTCAAATGATGGGAGGTAAGTAAAATATTTAATATATTTGTTTAAGTTAGTAGTTAAAACTAAATGTTTCTTATTAAAAATTATTTGTTTTATTCGCACGATTTTATTTTATTTATGTTTGACTAGATGTATTTATATTGGAAGTGGGACAGATATTAATTGCTACAATGTCAATTCAGGAAAGTTAGTTGCTAATTACAGAACTCATGAAAATTTTGGAACTATTAAAAACATATGTTATCATCCATCTGATGATAAACAATTAGTTGTATTCCATTGTAGGAATATTGTTTCTTTTTGGGAATTAGTTGGTTCACAATCAGCTAAAAAAATTAAAAGTCTGGTAATGATTTTATGATTTCATTTTGAAATATTGAAAAGAAATCTAAAATTCTACTTGTTAATATTTATTTATTAATACTTTTTTTGTTTTACAGTCTATAAATCAAGAAGAATGTTATGTTCAAAATGGTATGTGTCTATCAGAAACTTGCAATTCTCATAATGTTGATTGTGCTGTTTTATCTTTTAAACTACCTTCTAATGATAAAACTGAAATAAAAATAGGAATTTTTTCTTTAAATAATGGATCATTACTTCATAGTTTTAATGAAATGTAAAAACATAAAATTTTAAGGTAAATTATGATCATTACATATATATGTTTTACTATAGTTTTACGGATTTACCTCATATATGGTCGATTGGAGGTTTTGATAATATTCCATTTCTAGCAGCAGCTCATAATGATATAATACGCATTTATAATTTATTATCATATAAGAAAAACAAGTAAGTTTTTTTTTAACTATAATTTATACAAATCTTGGTACTAATAAATCTATTAATTGTTTTTGAATAATTTTCTCTAATGTATTAATTTAAAAACTAAATAAAATAAAAAACTTGTAGTTTTGACTTAAATTTAAATATAAAATATCTATTTTTTTAAATAAAGATCATCAAGTTTTTATGTAATTTTAATTGTACAACTTTGCTTCAGGATTAAATTAGGATCTAATCGTCTGGCAACCGTTATTTGTTGTCATCCTGTTTCTAACATTTTAGCAGTTGGAGATAATACAGGAAGAGTAGTTTTGTACTACAATGTGACAGAAAAAAAAAGTAGAACACAAACTGTTTATCATTGGCATACATTACCTGTAAATGATGTAATTTTCACCAACACAGGTAACTTTATCATATTATAATTTATTATATACCCCTTAGGCAACTTATTTTATTTAATCTGGAAAATATCATACTTAAGTATGTTCACTTATACTAATAAAAATAGAATTTGTACAAAGCTGAATAAATTTTCTTATCCTTTCAAAACAAAAAACCCGTACTGAATTTAGATTAATAAAATAAATGTGGAAACTCTACTTTTAAAACATAAGCCAATAAAGATTTAAATTATATTTTAATAGGCAACCAGTTTTACAGTGGTGGTGCTGAAAATGTATTAGTTAAATGGTTTTGTGAAAATATTGAAGCTCGACATTTTTTACCTAGGCTTCCAGCAAATATTTTACATTTATCAGTTACTAAAGATAATTTGTATATTGCCATTTCTACCAGAGACAATGGTAATTTATTTATTAATTTTAACTATTGAAATTTTGTAATAATATCTGGTGTTTTTAAATCATATAACAATAATTTTCACATTTATTTATTTTTAGGAATATTGATTGTGAATTCACAAAATAGAATTCACTCAACTATACAAAAATTTACTTGGGGTGTACATGCATCTACTGTAAGTGTTGAACTAGTTTTCTAATATACTTTAATTTATATGTTAATCATGATAAAATGTATATTTTATTCAAATAATTCAAAAATATATTCATAATAAAAAAGTATATTTTTTCTTAAAAGCTTAACATTTTGATAAGAACTATTTTAAAGTTATTTTTTTTAACTTTAGCCTGAAGAATTTGAAAAAGTGTTTCCAGCTGGTGTTGCATTTGATAGTCGCTCTAGATCACTTGTTACCAATGGGTGGCCAGGTCATATTCAATTTTTTTCATTAGACCAAACACAATTAAAGTTCAATGTTTGTAGTTTCTTTTTCTTGTCTACAATTACACTACCAACTTTTATATTTTTTTGATTAGTTGGATATTGTATGTCAAAATTATGTTACTCAAACTAGAGATAAGGATGTATTCAATGCTAATGTGTGTTCATTAGCAATAAGTAATGATAGTTTATGGTTAGCTACTGTAGAACGAAGATCATTTAATGAAAAATATATTGTAGATGATGTACTTAAATTTTGGTCTTTTGATGAAAAACAACAAACGTAAGTTAAAAATATATTTTTAGAAACTTTAACCTACTTTATTATAAAGATTTTCTTAAGAAAATGAGAATAACTCATTGCAGGTATTCACTTAACACATACACAACCTCTGTTGATAGAATTTCAAATGTTTATTTTCGACCTTTACTTGATAATGATGGACTACATATGGTCATTACAACTCATAGAAATGTATACAAGCTATGGTCACCTTATACATTTATAGAAAATGATAAAAATATGAAGCAAAGTATTATCACATTCTTTGTTTTATTTATTAATTTTTTTATGTTATTATAAAAATATAAACTTTTTTTATCCTAATTAAAGTATGTTTTTAAAGTCACATAATCAAATTAATCTTACAGGTAAAATGAAATCATGGCAACACGAATATACCAGCATAAATTACCACAATCAACCTCTGAAAGCTATTAGTTTTTCAGAAGATGGTTGTGTTCTTGCAGCATCTTTTGGCCCAAGTATAATTCTTAAAGTTCTTCAAGACTCGAGTGATTTTAAAACTAGCCTAACTCATGGATCAGAACATATAAAGTATTAATATTTTTAATAATTTTACTGTAAAGTGAGGTTGGATAAGTGTGTACACTTTAACATAAAAATTATCAAAGTAAATTAAAATTAATCTTTTTAATTAAAGTAAAAAAAATGAGGTTAATACTTGCCTTAATAAATGGGCAAGTGCAAATTAAATTATATTATTAAATATTTTTTAAATTATTTCATTAAGTGGGCTATTCTGTGTAATGATAAAATTTATCTAACACAAATATAAAATAAATTATATAATTAGTAGTAATTAGTAGTAATTATAAATATATTTTGTTAGGTACATGCTCATGTTTTTATTTTAAACATACATTTAGTATTATAGCAACACGTATAAGAACCAGAACTTTTTAATATAAAATAAAATTTACTAAATATTCCAAGAGAAAAAATAAATTTACATTTACTCCAATTTAAAAGTTATGGATTTTTTTTTAATCAATATTAATATTGAAGTTTTATTTTTAACTGATATGTTGACATTTTTATTGGTTAGATAATTAGACATAACAATATAAAAACAATGAATTCTGACCAAAATAATCCTAATTATGAAATTATTTGTATGATCTACACAATCGGTATCACACTAACTCCATACACATAGTACCTAGACAATCTAAAATGTTTATCAAGACTCCCGGTCTATTGCGGGGTGATCTTAAAAGCATGACTAGACATCAAATAAGCACTTAGACTGGTCTACTAACAGGACATGATCACTTGCTTAAACATCTTTACGCAATAGGGGTAACGGAATCACCAATGTGCGGGAAGTGTGGAATAGAAGAGGAAGACTCTTTTCACATAATGTGTGATTGTGAAGTCTTATCCACACTAAGATCAAATTACTTGAGTAAACCTTTTCCTGAAAAAGAAGATATTAAAAACCTAAGATATACTTAATTTCGCCTGAAAGACAGGACTCTTTGGTCATCTACAGGGGGTGTCTTGATAGTCCATCCTTATACAATCATAGGTATAATGTAATAAAACTTAGGTGTGTAAACCAAATCAAGACAATTCTGTATGAGGTGTGCACAATGGACCAACAGGTCTGAGTGCATAGGCATTATGTTCACCTGACTAAAACTAAAACTAAACCCCATACACAAATGTGCTGAAGCAAGTATAAAATCGTGTTTAAATAATTTATAATATTATTTCATTATTTGTTATTATTAAAATATAATCTATTTACTACATTTACTATATTATATAGTAAATGTAGTAAACCGTTTAGCTGAAATCATCTGCAAAAAAAACGGTATTTGACCATTGCTAAATGGTACATTGTATCAAATTTTTAAAAATGAGTTATAACAGACTATGTTTATCATGTTTAACATACTCTCTAAAAGCTATTTCTTGTACCAGAGGGAATGGTAAATCCTACATATCTCAGTTCAATGAAATTAAATTCTGATATTTATGTACCAAGACACAACATTTTACCAAGTAAGTTAGGTAGGCTGCCATTAAATGAGTGATTGAGTCTGCTGTAATTGTATAGCAGACTCACTTAATCCAAAACCACACTTATAACATAGATAATGTAATACTTTATTTTATCTGTGTTTGTTTGTACCATCTAACCTTAAAATATTTATATATTTTTTAAACTTTTTCTTTTAGGATTTATTAAAATTATCTAAATAAAATTACTTTTTATAGATTTCTAGAATTTGGTAAAAATACAAGTAGTTGGATGCTTGTTTCTGCATCTAACACCCGAGTTATGGTTTGGAATATCATAAGTGAAACATTGTTAACGACAATTTGGATTCAAGTAGACCTCTTAATTGCTGACCCAATTTCTGAATATATGGCAATTTTCACACCAGAAAATGACCGTAGGTTTCAATTGACTATATTTGATTTATCTATTGTAGTGTTAGAAAGGAATTAGTTCTAAAAAGAATGGATTCCTGGAACAAATTCTTTTTTGCAAGAATAAAGCTATGAATTGCTTCCTTTAAATTTTAGGAATAAGGAATGGGGATAAATTATGTAAGGTTTTTAAATATTTTTTGAACTAAAAATGAATGAAAAGGAAAATGAGTTTTTAATTTAGGAAGTTTAAAATTATTTAAAAATTAATTTTCCAACACTGATTTATTGTTATAAAATCAAATTGAATTTATTTTAGTTATATTTTTATGATATTTCACAAAAATAATTATATTGAATTATATGATTTTAGTTTACATATTTACTCCAAATAGTAAAGAAATAGTTTACAAAAAATGTAAAATTTTTGATGGAAATAGTAAACAAACATCTATTTTATGGGCTATATTTGCACCAAAGTCCAATACTAAAAATGGACAAACCAATTCTTGGTTAGATAATTCAACACTTTATATGTTGACCAATCATCAAGTATAATTTATAAACTTAATTTTTATAAACTCTAATAAAGATTTATTTAAATATTTTAGGAATTATTGAAATTTGAAAAGACTGATAATCTTCAAAATGTTATTGAAGCTTATGTCGATGACAACTTTACCAATTTAACTCCCTTGGGAAGAATCATTTCTAATAAGTTTCAAAGCAATAACAAAAATATTTATAAAAAAACCCAGTACAATTCATTTATTGATGAAAAATCTGCTTTTGAAGTAAATAGTAATACTTAGATTCTGTTAAAATGCTCTACATATTTTATTTATTTTTCAGATACTCAATGAACCTGCTCATTTAATGTTACCTTTAGAAACACAGTTAGAAAATATTTTACTGGCCTGTTTGAAATATGATTAATTGCACTATTAATATTTTGATATAAAATTGTTTAAATTATAAGTGTAATTAAAATTTTATAATAAAACAATTAATTTTTAAATACTGTATATTACTCATTTTGTATCTCGAATCTTCTTCTTCATCCTCGCCTTAATCCCAACTACTTGGCACGGCCACCCTAATCCTAAACTTCCACTTGACACAATCTCCCACATCTTCTACGCTCACATCAGCTGCCCTCAAATCGCATTCAATAGCATCCCTCCATCTCTTATTGGGTCTTCCTCTACCTCTTCTTTCTTCAACATTCATTTCTATAGCTGTTCTTACAGCTTCCGATTCTTCTCTCCTCATAACTTGACCAAACCATCTAAGTCTATTTTCTTTCATCTTATCCATAATTGACACTACACATATACTCCCTCTTATATGCTCATTTCTTATCCTATCTTCCTTAGTCACTCCACTCATCCATCGAAGCATTCTCATCTCTGCTCTACTTTCTTATTAGCCGCCAAAACTCTGAACCATACATCATAGCTGACCTTATTACAGTCTTGTAGAATTTACCTTTCAGCCTCATTAGAATTCTTTTATCGCATAAGACGCCAGACGCTTTTCTCCACTTCAACCACCCGCACTTAATTCTGTGTCTTACATCCTCGTCAATACCACCATTCTTTTGCACAACTGACCCTAAATACTTAAAACTCTCCACCTCTCCAATCACGTCCTCGCTTATTGTCACTGGTCTCCTTATTTCACCTACCTCGTGTTCTCCTTTGTCAAACTCGTACTCTATATACTCTGTCTTACTCCTACTTATTCTTAAACCCTTTTCTTCAAGAGCTGATCTCCACACCTTTAGCCTTTGATTAATTTCCTCCCTACTTTCTTCTATTAACACTATATCGTCAGCAAACAACATACACCACGGCACCTCTCCTTGTATTTCTCTAGTAATTTCATCCATTACTATAGAAAATAAGTAAGGGCTTAAAGCAGAACCCTGATGCACTACTACTCTTACCCGAAAACCTTCTTCTACTGTTTCCACACTTTTTACCCTGGTACAAGTGTCATCATACATATCCTCTATTATATTAATGTACCTTTTCGGGACTCCTTTTCTCATTAATGCCCATTTTAAAACCTCTCTCGGCACTCTATCAAACGTTTTCTCCAAATCTATAAATACCATACAATGCTTTTTTTCCCTAAACTTTTCTATTAGTTGCCTCACACAAAATAATGGCTCCATTGTTGACTTACCAGGCATAAATCCAAACTGGTTTTTAGATACCAATGTCTCATTTCTTATTCTCTTATCTATTACATTCAGCACTTTTTCTTCGAATATCAATTTTACGACCATAATTCTGTCATTTTTCCTAGCTACTTCTTCTACTTTACTTTTCATCTCCTCGTCCATTATTATCCCTACACCATTTTTTGTACTAGACTTACCACAGTATATTATTTGATAGCCCTCACCTATTCCCCTTGATTTCTCTCCTTTCTACTTAGTTTTCTGCACACAATAAATATTAACTTTTCTCCTCATCAATACTTATTCTCATTTTCATACCTTAGCTAGGGGAAAAGTACAGTCAGGAAATGACTAGTGATAAAAATAGCAGCACTTCTAGTCCTTACTTTAAATTGTTAATAATTTTTGAAATACTAGCGAGTCATTATCGATTAGTCATGTACCTCGAAAACAAATTTTTGGAAGTTAAAAGGATTAAGTGCTGAGATGTTGAAAATACAATATTTTAATAAAATAGATATTTTAAATAAATGATAATAATTAACTTTTATTATAATGTGCCAATAAATAGTACTTTGACCTTGTAATTAATAAGAAAATTATCACACTTGTATGTATCACTAAGAGTTTTAATATGTATATCTCTAAAATTACTTTAGTTTCTTAAAGATCCAAAAAATGTGCATTATTTTATTAAGTATTTTTAATTAGAATTATTTTGTTGTAGACATTTGGGAAATGCATTTATTTTCACTACTTAGGACGTAAAATCACTAAATACACCTATATCTATATTATATGAAAATTATTACAACTAAATAATACTTGGTTTCAATAATTTTATATATCTCAAGACTTTATTTTTTATTGGTTTAGTATTATTTAATTACAGCATGAATTAAATACCCAAACAAAAAATTCAACAAGGACGTTTAAATTGACAATTCTAATCAAACTATTTGCTACTTGAAAATAATTATAGCGATACCTGCAACCACTACACAATAGTTAGCAGCATTATACTTTTTATCACTACTAGAAGTGACCACAGAATGTACCTAACGTAGATTTAATTATATATTTTACCGAGACTGATAAACTTTATCATTAGATTGCCGGTCACTAATTTTTTTTCGGATTATTTAAGTTGTTTACATTATGATTTATTTTGTGTCTATCAACTATTAAGTAATATTGAATACTAGAAGAGTACTATTAATTTCTTATAAAATTTTAGTGTTAATTTGATAAGCCAATAGTTTTAATTTTAGGATTAATATTTAAAATAAGCAAGGTAAGAATACTATTACAATTACGTTTCTAAAATTTATATTTTTGTTCAATTTTATTCAAGATTATTAGCAACTGTAATTATTACTAATTACAATCCCAGATTTCATTTTTATTATTTCTCTAATATATATTTTGTAAATTACTTGTTTAATTGTATAATTTTTGTAAGTACTAAGATCTTAGTGATGAAAAGATACTGGTAATCTTTTAATGAAATGATCTAGTTAATAGAAATTTTTTTTTATTTATTATCTCAATTATTATTTACCTTTGTAAATGAAAAACTATGAAATAGATTCTAAAATAGAACATTTATTCAAAATATATTCAATTACATTTTTCTTTTGACTAACTCAATAGTAATTTTAAGTTATGAAAAAATCTTAAAAATCCAAAATATATATAAAATATTATATATTTTATAGTTTTTTTTTTTTAATTATACAACTTCATACCATATTAAACAGAAAAAAATTAATATATTAAAAATATAAATTTTATTTAAATTTTCAATATATTTTTTTATCAATTTAACCTTTTTAAAATCAATAAAAAATTGAGTAATTTATTTATTTTGGTTCTTACACAATATTTTTAATTTTATGATATTAAGGAATATTTTCATTATTTTAAAATCTTGCTTAGACATCTCTTGATACTAAGTTAAAATAAATTGTGTATTAAATCCCGTGTCAATTGGACATAAATACCGGTCATGAGTTTATTGTAGCCTAAGAAAATTAAATACCGCTATTGAAAATTTTAGAAATGTTTCTCAAAAGTCATATTGGTTTCATTTTATTAAAAAATGTATTTATTGTACTGTGGTAAGTCTAGTACAAAAAAAGATGATATTTTGAACAATTACAAAAATACCAATCTCGAGATGACTATAAGGAATTTTTAGAATTGGTCATAATATTTTTTGGTGAAACACCTTTACATAGAATTTATTTTAAAATTCCTGGCCCAATCCATCATGTTTGTTGGATGGCCAAGGCTAATTATTGTTTGAAATTTTTTTTGTTTCGGGGCCAATTTGAATTGTCAATCAAAGAGTTAAATACTTAAATAATATTCGTTCATTATGTATTTTTATTACAAGTTTATATAGTCTCTGTTTATATATAAATTTGTAAGTTAACATTATTTTAGCTTCAATGTGAAACTGAGACGGTATTAATTTTACTCTGTTTTTTTTTTTTTTAATTAAAATTAAAAAAATTGTAGGTTTTGAATAGTAAATAATAGAAAAAATGTCGAATTGAAAATGTATAGAAAATTAAATTAAAAACAACGGTTAAATTAATTTTTTTTATGTTTTTACAGTGAACGATTTATAAATTAACAATTTTAATGGTAAGAATAGAACATATACGTTTTTATTTTTTCAGGGCTAAATAAGAACTTTTCGAAAATTTTTATAAATATACTTTTTATAGAAAAATTGTATACCTACAAAAAAGTCCAAATAAACATTTTCGCAAAAGCTAAATTTTTTGAGATAGACATAAAAAACTAAAAAATCACCCTTGGGGGGTTATTTTTAACCCCCTTGGAGCACGTCTTAGAGTTGACCAATCGTCACCTAATTTTGTACAATTTATTTTTTCATGTATTTGAATAATTCTAGGGGGTGGCACTTACAAATATTAAAAAAAAAAAAACCTCTCATATAGCTAAGGGTCACCCTAATGTACATTGTGCTTAATATATAATTGAAAAAGTCTTTGATGGAGAATAATGAAAAATGATTAAACAATTTGTTTTAGAGTGTGAATTGTATTAAGAATGTCTCTGTTAATGAAACATTTACTCAAAAATAAAAATAGTACAACATCATTGCAAAGTCTACCTTTTAAAGTAATGAATAGCTTAATTAATTATTATAATTATACATATGTTAAGAAATATAAATTAATAAAAAAATTATTTCTTATTAAACTTTAAATTTTTTATTTTAACTTTGTTTTAATATAACCTTAAATTACAGTGCCATTGTAGTTATGTATTACTATGGGTTTTTCGCTATTATGATTAAATTAGACTTTTATTATAATTGGTAGACAAATTATTAGACTTCATTTGTACAACTATATAATTTCACTTAAATTTATTTAGAAACCATTCTTGAAAACAAGTAAAATTATACTTAGTACTATATATCAGTTATGAATTGACTTGCTTTCTTTTGATTAATTTATATGTAGACTCTTACGTATTCATTTTATTTTAAAATTAAATATAGACTGTTCAGTTTCGATGTTTAAATTTATTGGAATGCCACAGCAAAGATTTACTTCATAAACATGGAGTTGCAGTACAAAAATTTAGAATCGTAGAAAGGCCTGATGAAACAAACAACCTTTTGAAATCGTTTAGTAAGTTTATTGTTAATATTGTAAACTTTTTTTATAACTTTTATTTTTTAAAAATATTTAGCTAAATAAAATACAAATAGTCAAATTTTCTACATTAAAATAAAACAAAAATGGAGATTATAAAGTTTAAGTGGTTAGTAAAATATATTTTATTTGCTACAATAATTAATTAATTGATTCAAAAGTTTTAGTTTTACTTATTAGAAGAATGAACATGGATACTACCTAAAATTTTATTATAAAAATTGGTTTTCACCGAAATATAATGTGCTAAATTAACTAAGTATTCCAGTTGGTGATTTGACTCCTATAACCAATAGTTCAAGATTTGTTTATTTTTTAACTGACTGACTGCTTGATTTTTCACCATAAAGTGTCCCACTGTTAGTGTGTTTTATTATTAGTGCTCTACTACTATTATGGTTCATTATTACATGCCTAACTGTTAACATCAAATTTTCCAATGATCTTCTATGAAGCCTCACTGTTTCTACATTCTTGTTCTTAGAGGTTTTCCTTAATTGAATCCCTGATTTTTACAAAATTATTCCTTCTTGTATTATATATATGGGGTCCCCATAAGAAGCCAAGAAAAATGTCCACTATAGTAGAGCTTGATACTGTGCTAAAACAATATATTCTATGGTATGCTTGTGGTTCCATAGAATTTTTCAAATGTCAACTTTATCTAATGGTATACCTTATTGATAAATCTGTCTCACTTGATAATGAGGGTTTGGAAGACTTATTTAACATTTACAATCAGATGTGTTTGCAATTCTACCTATCAATCCTAAAAATTGGAAATAACTGGCTGTATGATAAATGGCATGTGCTTTAACCCACACTGAGTAATTAAGGATCTAGGGATTATCATTCATTTTTAATGAATTCATAATTCATGAATTTTTAATTCAATTTTACAACTAATACTATTAATATATATTATTTTTATACTAAATTTTCTTGAAATTAAAAATTATTCCTATATTTTAAGATTGATTTTTTTTATGGATATATATATATATATGTTATAGATGTTCAAGAGTATGTATTAAAAGCTCAAGTCTTAGCTGGAGGTAGAGGACTAGGACATTTTAGTAATGGATTTCAAGGAGGTGTTCATGTCACAAATGAGTAATTATATTAGATTTTTAACTATCATCAATTATAAGTAATCTACATAAAATAAAAATTTTAGTCGATCAAAAATTCATGATTTATTGAAGAATATGTTAGGCCACAAGTTAATTACTAAACAAACTCCTAAAGATGGCATTCTAGTAAATAAAGTCATGGTTGCAGAGTCAGTTGATATTAAACGTGAAACATATTTTTGTATATTAATGGATAGGTAAACAAATTTAATGTAAATTATTGTAAATTTTATATATACATATTATTAGTTTACCTTCAAAATTTTAATGAGAACCATTTTAACTTTATTATATACATTAAAATATGCATTTTGTGAAAAATTTAAGATTTTTAAAAAAAATTTTAATGGTGGCTCAATATGTTTTTAGTATTTTGACCAAAAATACCCCCAAAAAACGGTCTCTGTTATTCAATTTTTAGTAAAATATTATGGTTAATATATCAAAATTGTTTGATTTTTACTGTAGAATAGTTTCAACATTTGTAGTCAAAAATTGATAGCGTGGATATCATAATTAGTGTCATTATATGGTATATTTCTGGTTAATCTCAAGTAAACTTAACATTTTTTTGTTTTATGTAATTTGGCTGATATTTATGTATATTATAAGTAGAAAAAAATTCTTCATTTATCTTAAAAACATACTTTTTTTTATAATTAATGCATAAGTTAAATTATAAGATATTCTTGAAAATATGAATAAATTACTATTGTCTTTACATACTTTTTAAATATATTTTTATTATTAAACAATTCATTTTTTAGTAAATATAATATAATAAAAAAGTAAGTTTCATTTTATTGGTAACATTAAAACTGACATTTTACAGTCTGGGTAATCATTACGATGCTTTTCTACAACTTGAAGTAAATATTGCTTTAGGACCTCATCAGTTATTATGTAATCATTTAATTGCAGTATTAAAGCTATCCCTCTTTCTTCTGGATCATTTACCATAAATAAAGTTTAAACTTTAATTTTTGCCAAATTATAGTTTGAATTATAGAGCTAAAAAAATTCGTTTAGTATTTTCTATGACAAATTGATGTATACCCTCATTACCCGTTACTGTTTTGATTACAATTCCTTTTTTTGGATTGTGTTCTCCTTTTTTATTTAATGCTTGCACCATTTTAATTTTTACGTCTGTCGATAAATCATTGTCAAAAAATGATCCAACAATAATTTCATTGAAATATCATAAATGCTCAGAAAAAGCTTTTATTACTACCTGACTTATTAATATTATTACATTGCTTTAGTTCTCATCGTAGTTTAAGGTCATTATTTGGAGCTTTTGTTGGATATTAACTTTCGAACCAATATCTCATATAAATTATTCAAACAAATGAATTGAAATACCGAATACTCCTTAATTCGGAAACTGTTAAATTAAATTACTTACGGAACATATAAATTTTAAGACAATATATTATTTTTGCCATCTATCTTGCTCTATGAATTGCACCTGGTAGATGGATTATAATTTTTTTTTGTCCGGTTTTTCAATGAATATCAATGTTCTAACAACTCTTTATTATAATCCCAAGAAGTCAGTTTTAATGTTACCAATAAAATGAAACTTACTTTTTTATTATATTATATTTACTAAAAAATGAATTGTTTAATAATAAAAATATATTTAAAAAGTATGTAAAGACAATAGTAATTTATTCATATTTTCAAGAATATCTTATAATTTAACTTATGCATTAATTATAAAAAAAAGTATGTTTTTAAGATAAATGAAGAATTTTTTTCTACTTATAATATACATAAATATCAGCCAAATTACATAAAACAAAAAAATGTTAAGTTTACTTGAGATTAACCAGAAATATACCATATAATGACACTAATTATGATATCCACGCTATCAATTTTTGACTACAAATGTTGAAACTATTCTACAGTAAAAATCAAACAATTTTGATATATTAACCATAATATTTTACTAAAAATTGAATAACAGAGACCGTTTTTTGGGGGTATTTTTGGTCAAAATACTAAAAACATATTGAGCCACCATTAAAATTTTTTTTTAAAAATCTTAAATTTTTCACAAAATGCCTATTTTAATGTATATAATTTTTTTTTATATATGCATAACTTTACTTATCATGGAGATACATGACATCCAAATTAAAAAGATCTACTAAAAAATATGGTTCTTCATAGAAATTTAAGAAGTTTATAGAAATAGTAAAATGCTCCCCCAAACTATATTGTTGCTGTAGAAATCAAAATGGTCCTGTACTCATAGCATCTCCAGCTGGTGGAATGGATATTGAAGATGTAGCAATTAATTCACCTGAATTAATAAAAAAAATTCCTATTGATATTCATGAAGGAATAACTGATTGTACTGCATTAGATGTTGCAAAATTTCTAAAATTCGAAGGACAATTATTGAACCAGGTAAATGCTTGTAATAGTTAATTTGACTCATTATTTTTACTCAAAATTAATTTTTATTTTTTCCAACAGGCTGCTAATGAAATCAAACGATTATGGACATTTTTTTTGGCTGTAGATGCTGTTCAAATAGAAATAAATCCATTAGTTGAAACTTCTAGTAATCAAATTGTATGTGTTGACGCCAAAATTCAGTTTGATGATAACAGTGAATTTCGACACAAAGATATCTTTGAATTAGATGAAACTAGTGAATCAGATCCACGTGAAGTTTTAGCTCATAAACACAATTTAAACTATATAGGCATGGATGGTAACATTGGGTGTTTAGGTGAACCACATATTTTATTTGATGAATGACTTAAGTTCAAATCTGTTTATTTTTTGGTTTTTAGGCCAATTAAAGGCCATAACAACTTTTCCCAAAGGGGAAATTTTTTAACCATTGATACTTTGGGACGGATGGTTAGTCCTTAGCCAGAGAGTGGGATGGCAACTCCAGTTATCAAACTAATCTCTCACTCGGCAAATAAAGTTGCCCGTGACTAAAGTTTTGAATTCTAGGCGGTAAACGTTGATCACTGCTGCTTTATCGACTTGGCCACACTGTCCCACTACCATTTGTTTATATAAACTCAATAGCTAGTTTATGTACTGTATTTTCAATAAATTGTATCACTTAATAATATTTTGAGACTAAAATGCTGACAAATTTTATATTAATAACAAATTTATTTGTTATTTGTTTGACTTTCCCAGTTATGTATAATTTATCTAATTGTTAATAATTTCTCTCTTTATATAAATAATTTTATATACTTGTTAACATTAAGTTTGCCCATTATAGTTCTATTGTTTTGTTTTCTTTTCAGTCAATGGTGCCGGTCTTGCAATGGCAACTATGGATATTATTAAGTTGCATGGTGGTGACCCTGCAAACTTTTTAGATGTAGGTGGAAATGTCAATGAAAATCAAGTATATGAAGCTTTTAACCTTTTAACTTTAGGTAAAAGTGACACTCTTGTATTAGATGGTATTTTACAACAATTTATTTTGTTTTTACACATTCTCTCTCAAAATCTATGCTTATGTTAAAGATTAACAATAACACAAGACACAATGTGTTCCTGACTGCTAGTAGGCTGTCAAATTAACAATATGATTCCAAAAGTATTTTGGTCTTGTCATATATTAAACAATACCCACCTCTTAGTTAGGGCTAGTATCTACTAAGTGCTATTGTAAAAATTAACCTGCACTATTTGTCCTCTCAAAGTATAAAAAATAGTCAATAAAATTATTTTCAATCAATAAAAAACATTTGTACTTAAAAATATTCCATAAAAATGGGTTGGAAATTAAAATTATTTTCAGAAAACTAAATAATAAAAAAAAAAGTAAAGTTATTTAAAAACAAAGTATTCAGCAAAATATTTCAAAAGTTATATAATTTATCAGAAAATATAAAACCACTCTGAATAGCATTTTCAAAGAATTGTATTATTCTCATTTAAGAAATTTAATATGGGTTTGCTGGTCCATATTAAATATGTAATATTTAGATCTTAATCTTATTAAATTTTAAATTATAATTATAAATTAAAATATTATTTTTTAGATTCATCTGTGAAAGCAATATTAGTTAACGTTTTTGGAGGAATTGTTAATTGTGCTACCATTGCTCAAGGATTAATTAATGCTTCAAAAAAATTAAATATGACTGTACCATTAGTAGTTAGACTTGAAGGTTAGACAAGTAAAATATGTAAACATTTTTTTACAATTAAATAATTTTTGTGCCTCTCTTAATTTTTTTTTTTTGTGTTGTATCAAGTATTTTTTTTTTGTTTAGTTATTAATTATAAAAAAAATCTTTTCCAATGAAACTATCTTAACAAATATAAAACAAGTTAAAATTGCACTTGCCTATAAAAATGTAATTAATAATAAAATAAATACTTAACTCCTTAATATGTTTTAATACTAAAATATAATTCAATAAGGAAGTTAAAAAAAATTACATTTAAAATAGTATACCAGCCATTATTTAGTAATGTTATCTTCTATATATATTTTACATATTTTTTATTTTAATAAAAATATGAATCAGATTTATTTTGTGTGATATTTTTTCTTCTTAAGTATTAATTGTGTAATATTAAAATTATATTAAATATTTCAATTATAATAAATGTTATTATATAGTGGTAATTTAGAGTAGTAAAAATAACTAGATAAGTATTTAAAAATCTAAACTCAAGATTAATAACAAAAGTTTATATTTAATACAATGAGTTTATAACTTATCTAATTGCATTTATTTTAAACTCTTTTCATAACAAATTAAAGTTAATAATGACTGACATTTTTATTTTTATGAAACTATCTTGTAAATTGTTTTTATTTACCATTTATTGTTACTTATTTAATTAAAATGAATGTTTTGAATCATTTTATAGGGACAAATGTTGCTGCTGGAAAGAAGCTTTTAGAAAATTCTGGATTACTTATTCAATTTGCTTCCAATTTAGATGAAGCTGCTGAAAAAGCAATTTCTTCTTTAAACAAATAAGATTTCATATTATAGAATTTTAAGTGCTTTATGATACAATATTAATTAAATAATTTATTATGTATCATTAATTTTTTTAGTATAAAATATTATTTTTATATATTTTTGTGTTCATCATTACTTTTTTAAATATATGCCTATACTTTGCATTACATTAGATTATATGATACTGTTAAATCCAGGATTTAGATAGATTCTCCAGCCTTATTCTTTCAATTGAAATCATACTCTCCATGTACTTTTTCATATCCTCACCTCTCATTACCGAATTGTCCATTTATATTTCCATCTACATACCACATTCTTATTACCAGATATTCCTTGCATCACCTTATCTATTTTTCATCAAAACACATCCTTGTCTAAATCATTACATCCTAATTGTGGTGCATAGGAACTTACCACATTGAACACTTTTTCCTCAAAAATTAATTTTATGAATATAATTTTGTTAATTTTCCTAACTCTTTCTACTTCTTTACTTTTCATCGCCTCATATATTATTATCCCTGCACAATTCTTTATATTGGTCTTACCTAAATATATTATTTTATAACCCTCACCTATTTCCCTTGGTTTCTCTTCGTTTGACTTAGTTTCCTGCTAACAACAAATGTTAACTTTTCTCCTCATCAATACTTCTATCAGTTAATATTCCAACATTCCACGTACGTATTCTTACTTTGTATCTATCGAGTCCAGCCTAGAGTTGAGTGATAATGTCCCTACTTCGTTGACACTACAAGCTTTGGTAGATCTGTACACATGAATAGTGAAACAGCTACTGCATAAGTTCTACGGCTGGTACCAATTGATTAAAAGTAAAGAAAACATTTTGTGGTACTATCTGCAGGTCAAATTTTCATTCTGGCATTACAATTTGGATGGATTGGACCTTGTCTATAAAACTGAGGATTCAATAAAATATAATGTCATACCACTATACCACTAACTCTAAATAAAATGTAGTGTATATTATACACTAATCAATTAGTCTTTACGACCGCGTTTGTCGATAAATTCCTCNGCTACCACTAACTCTAAATAAAATGTAGTGTATATTATACACTAATCAATTAGTCTTTACGACCGCGTTTGTCGATAAATTCCTCAAAAAATCGTCCCGTTTATAAGATTCGTTTTTTATTATATTAATTATTTTACATTAAAACTATTAAAAAATAATAATTCTTACCTATGGTTTTTGTGCTACCCTAGAAATCCTACCCTTCCTCCACCTCTATCAACAAGCCTGCTTGGCACAACCTCATTAGTCGCCTCTTACAACTGGTATTTTTATCCCCAATCTACAGGGATAATCATAATTATAAAAGTAATTAAGATCACCTGAATTTAAAAGTGCATTTTTACAATTATAATACACTCAGTTGAGTAAACTTTTTTAATATCTTATTGATTGGATTTTTTAGTTTCGATGCGAAGCTAAGAAAGTGTTGGTCTTGTGTGTGTGTTTTTTATGTTTGTCCATACAAATTCTCAGCTCTCACAGGACCGATTTCAATTATCAGTACGTCCGATAAAGAATCCGATTTTAATTTAGTTAACCTTTTAGTCGTCATATTATTTTTATTGTAATAAATCATTAATTTTATCAATGTAAATGATTATTACCACTACCCATAAGTAATCTTGTAGAAATATCGTTGAATATTGATTAGTAATAATCAATCATTTTCATTCTTACTACATTGGTTCGACTTTTCTTAATAATACATTTTAGAACAAGAAGCTCTATCTTCTATGGACAATGTATAATAGAACATTTAGTTTTTGAATGGCGGAATAACTAAGTTGAAAACTTATGTGAAAGCTAATTAAATTTATTTTTCAATATCCTTATCCAACTGATAGACTAAGTTTTAGGGTTCTAGAGTAGAAAAATTATTAAATTACAAAGTAAAATGATTTAATTTTGTAATTGAAAGTTATCATATCAAACTTGTGTGGTGAACTGGGTTTCTAAGTCCAGTTTCAGCCAGTCGGAAGAGTACCAATAGGAAGAGTCAAAGTAAAAATACAGTGTAACATTCACTATGAGTACTGATCATTTTATTTGTGTTCATGTCCCTTTTTATATTTTAAGAAACATGATTAATTACGAATTAATACAAGGTTAAGACAACATTTAAAGTAAACAAAACACCATTAAAATATAATCTTTAAAATCTAATTTAAAAGACTATTAAGTATTGCTACATATTTCAAGATGCCGTTCACGACACCCTTTCCCTTAAAGTGAAATAATATACAAAATATATTATTTCTTACAATATGTTTTAATTATACATTTTATGTAACAATAGTTCAATAGTACAAATAAAATTTAATTTAAAATAGTATAATTATTATTCATTGTACAAATTTTCTAATAGCCTTCGTCTAAATCTAGTACGATAAATTCTACGTTCTGGTTCAGGGTTATTTACAATGTGATTTGATTCTATAGCTAATGGTATTTGTTCAGATTGTACTGTATGTATATTCTTTTTACAATACTTAACATAAATATATATTATAAATATTGTTATAGCTAATCCGATTATTTTAATAAGTATATTAAATATAAAACTATTATTATTATAAAATTCATATATGTGTTTATGTGTAAGCAAATCACTAATACGTTCTTGGTAGGTTAATTGAGATTCCAGATTATTTAGGGCTGCTTGATCTAATTTTATATTTTCCATTTTTTCGAGATGCAAGGGCTTTTGAATTGTTTTGTTGTATAAATTGTTGCAACAAGTTGAATTGAGCAAACTAAATTCTAGGGGGATTGCATTGAAGTTTGACTCTAGATTAGTTTGTGTGGCTTCTAGAGTCACCGATGGTGTAATGGCTCTACAGTTTTGTTTAAAAGATAGCCTCCCGGTTTTCTTCACTACAATTTTCTCTACTTCTGTGTTTGAGTCACATGAAATTGTGACTATTGTATCTTTAATAATTACAAAATACCAATTATTTGGAAAATAAGAGCTGTACCATCTCTCTGATTGTATTTCTGAAACAAATACATCACATATGGACGGCAAGGAGTATTTATTGTTTAACAGTTCCGTTTCACAAGTTGGAACCTTTTCTGTACCAGATATGAAGTCGCTATTCTTACACACATATATATTATTAAGTATTTTACAATTATCTAGGTTATCTAATATTATATAATGAGACACTAAATTATCAGTTAAAAGACATTTTATATTTTTAGTTAAGTGTATAAATTGGTTATTATTGTTAAAGGGTATGAATATTGGTAAAATATGATATAATATATAATTATTTATTCTACTTAATGGTAATTTAATAAGAGTAATTAACTTTTTATTATTATAATATATTTTAATTTCTAAGATTTCATTTATATTTTGAAGGAGTTTATGATTTTTTTTAGATATTATGTTTTTATTGCTTAATGGCTCGATATTTTTTTAACATATTACTTATTTCAAGAGCCTTATTTTCTATGAGTTCTATATTTATATAAGACGTGAATGTCCAAAAGTTTNTTAAAGTAAACAAAACACCATTAAAATATAATCTTTAAAATCTAATTTAAAAGACTATTAAGTATTGCTACATATTTCAAGATGCCGTTCACGACACTTGATTCGTCAATAAATATTTTGAAAACATAAGAAATGAATGATTTTAATTGTCTGTGTGGAGAACATGGGATAAGTAACTGTTTAATTAATAAATTAAAATTTTTTTTCAATTTTTGAGGGTAGTATCTTCAACTAGATACGAATTGTAGTCATTTGATGTATCGTTGAAAAAAGTAGGTCAAGTTAGAGCAGAGAAAATAAATGATAGTCACAAAAAAATATCTTCTCAGCTTTGCATCGATGCGAAAACTTAAAATATAGTAAAATAATTTTAATATGAATAAAAAATTTCTTCTTGCGAGTGGCGATTACAGTGATCCTTGATCTTTATTGAAGTTATTGAATCCAAATGAGATAAAAATCAAAGCAGTTGAAAATTTATTCTAACTTAAAAAGAATTAAGAAAAAATGCAAAAAATTCATTGCTATGTGCGGGTTGGAACTTTGTACCCGAAGCGCAAAATCACAAGTTTAACCGACTTGGCGACAGTACGTCGCTACCGTCGGCTGAAAAATTGGCTACTTTAATAAGCTAGTTCAAATTTCAAAATTATTTTTCTCGACTTCAAAAAGCAAACAAATTTAAATAAATTTAACTTTCTATACTATATCAATTTTTTATTTATATAATATATATGTACTCCCCTTGTTAGGTATTTTAAAATAAAATAAAATACAAAACCCAGAATTTTAACACAAAAATAGGATATTTTTGAATACGGTAGTCATTTTTACCACGAAGACAAATCCAGATATCAAATTTTTTTTTTTTCAAATTAAAGTATATTACATAAGCTTTAATTTAAGATATATATAAAAGTGTCAGTCTTTCCGGAACATTTTCAAAAGTTAAGTTGAAAAAGTTCTACTTTCTATACGCATTTTAAAAGGTTTGCACCCCCCCTGTATAAAGGGAAATGGTCCGATTTTAAAANTTTTTTGTAAAAATGTTACCATTTTGAATCCCTTCCTGTGGGCTTGTAAAGGGTCAAATGTTCACAAAAATATATAAAATGATATGTGAATACCTAAGGTATCTATAAAAAAAGAGTATAATCATTCGGTTATTTTTAAAAATCAAACAGGAGGATACACCACCTAGCGCGGCCGTCCCCATGCCGACGACGCCTGCGCCGGTATTGGCCAAAAAGCCTAAGCTGGTGGCCCTACGGCAGTTGATTTCTTCAACGTCGACGGGTCATCAAATAGGGTGATTGGCAGGTCCGACGAGGTCCCGTTGCGCTGCGCTACAGTGTCGGCGTGATCGGGCTCTACGGGGCTACGAAACGTCGGCACGGGCGCAGTTTCCCTAGCTCGGGGAATCGGGCGCGTCCTCAGGTTGCGGATATAGGAACGGCCTGCAGATATGCAGGTTAGCCGCGAAATAAGCAGTCCATTAATTTGGACTGACGAATAAGCGGTCGCGGACAGCGAGCCCCTCGTTCGCTCGTTAACCCTGCAGATATGCAGGGTAGCCGTGATATAAGCCACTCCTAGAGTGGACGAATAAGCGGTAGCGATCGAGG